TAAGGAAATAAAAAAAAATTTTTTTATGCACCCTTACAAGACTACTACGAATTGTATTAATGCAAATTTAATTGTATTTAAAAAACTAGGAGTAACATTTATGAGTTTAAAAAATATATAATCAAAATATTTAATAAATCCATAAGAGCTATGCAATATAAAGAGCAAGTTTCTTAAAAGTGCAACGCCTATATTGTACAAAAAATTGCGCAAGAAAAATTTAAAATTCGTTGCACTTATGTATATTCCCCAGAGTTTTTAAAAGAAGTTCTTTGTTTGGTTCTGAGTCTCTTAAAACCGTTGCTGAATTTTCATATTTTAATTATTTTATTTTTTATTTTAAGTTTATCTCATGAGACAATTATACATAGAAGAATGTCGAACTTGTTCTATTCACAATACAGAGTATTAATTTAAGTGAAATGTGTTTTATTCAGCACGTTGCATGGCGGTTCGAGTTGTAGAAGTTAGACTCTGTGTTGAATTATTTTTTCTCTGTGTACAATACATCTGCGAACGTGTGTGAGTAGGGAAGCGCGTGCCTTTTGCCGTCCATGTGGTTACACACTCACACCAGCGCCAGTACACATACAGAGGCACTTATTCAAGCTGCTCGCATATGCATAGAAAGAAATGTTTACCTTATATTACCGCTCCGCAGTCTAACCAACTCTGCGCTCCTTGGCCCCCTTTTAACCACTTTTTTAGCTCCCTTTCACACTTTTCACTTTTCACCCTCCCCCTGCCCCTGCCCAATTTCATATGTGTGTTTGTGGGGGTGTTCTGGCAAAACTTTGTCATTTAGTTAGGTGTAAGTTAGTTTTTTGGCTTAGCCGGGCCAACACTTTAAACAGAGTGAGAGGGATTGACGGAGGGGGAGGGGGAGAACGATGCCAGAAGGGGGGAGAGGGGGAGGGGGGACAAGGGGCACCGCACGGAGTTACCTTAATTTAGTGCAGTTTGCAAAATGTGCGTACGTGTAGAAAGAAACACTTCCTCACACCCACACCTCGTCCGCCAAAGTTGCACTTTCCTTTAAATCAAACACTTGGCGAAACATATGATCGGAAAAGTTGGCAAAACACACTTAGAATGAGTCATGGAAATGGGTCCACGCCAGGATGGATAACTTTAAACATTGCTTTTACAGCTGCAGCCACCGAAATCCGAAAGCGGTAAAGTTGACTGCAGAATGTGTCAAATGCGTGGGTGTATTCCGTTTTTGGGGCAGTACAATTGATAAATACTTAGTAATAAACAGTTGCATTTAAGACTAGAGGTATATATTGAATAAAGTCACACTAAGAGACGATGTTCCAAATATTCAAATTTTATTGACTGACAACTCTTAACTAGAATCAATGTTCTAGATAACTTTCACTGACAAATTTCCAATCACTACATTAAATTGGTTTTAAATTTACAAAATTCGAATATATAAATTTAATCTTAGACATAAGTGTTTTGGTTAAAAAATGTTGATAAATTGTGCGTTATATATATTACACATTCATCGATTTTTTGTTTTCAATCTATTGAAGTCAATCTAAAACAAGAGAGAACGCTATAGTCGAGTGCCTCGACTATAAGATACGCGATACTCAGCTAAACAACTTAAAATATGCGCTATTGTATTGCGCCATCTACCCCAAGACATTGGTACCACAGGCCATGAAAGGCGGAAATGTAGGCGCTAGCCAGGCTTAAGCGTTTAATGGGTTTTTGGGCGTTAGAGTGGGCGTGGCAAACTTTTATTAGTCCAATCGATAGGTATTGACGAAACAAATACATATCAATAAAAATTTTCATAATAGCATCAAAACTGTGGCCACAGCTTGTGGCTTGTGGGCGTCAGAGGGGGCGTGGCACCATTTTGAAACAAACTTGCGCTGCGTAGGAACTCCTAAAATCTACATGCAAAATGCCAATCTTCTAGCTTTTATAGTTTCCGAGATCTCAGCGTTCATACGGACAGACAGACGGACAGACAGACGGTCAGACGGACATGGCTATATCGACTCGGCTAGTGATCCTGAACAAGAATATATATACTTTATAGGGTCGGAAACGCTTCCTTCTACCTGTTACATACTTTTGCACGAATACAATATACCCTTTTACTCTACGAGTAACGGGTATAATTAGTTAGAAGTGTATTAATTTTCGCTCGCAAATCGTTGCCTACATTTGTGCTGAAACCTCGTTGGAGACTTCTATAAGAGAAGGAAATATAAGTTAAGAAGGAAATAAAATCGAGCGGATATTTGACAAAAAAATAATTTAGAATTCCATTTAGAATTTGAAAAGTTATATTTAACTTGAACCTGATACGCATCACAAAAGTGAAGGCAATAAATGTACCCTCCTCTGCCTTGGTTCATATTACCAATTGTAAATGCCAATTCATTGCCTTTAACTTCCAATTTGAACCTTCGATCCTCAGACAACCATATTTTTTAGTGGGAAATGGGGGCATAAATACGACCAACAAATTTTCAATTACTTGTTTGGGATAATATTTTCGGGAAATGCAATTTGTCTGACTAACTTTATTCATTCATTTTGGGCTAGAAGTTGTGCAAGCGCACGAGTACACAGATCTGCTCACACAGATACTCACTCACACGCACACACTCACACACACACACACAGGGCAAACAGCAGCTATGAATGCACTTTTATGTCCTGTTCCCCAGCCTGTGTGTATGTGTGTGGGATTGTGTGTGAAAGCGCATGTTTGCTTGTGTTTGTAGTTTTGTTCCGAAAAACAAAACTTTAGCAAAACGAGCAGAAAAGGAACGCACCACGGACAGAGGTAACCAACGCTCGAATGTCCCTTCCTCTCTTTCTCCGCCTCCTTCGTTTTCCTTCACTATCTCCCCCTCTCCATCACACCTTTTTAATCTTTTCAGTGCTGAAGATCTGAAATCCGAAAGTAGAGTTTTTTCCAATATTTATATATATCAATATTAAATGGATATGTTTTAACTTTTTCTTATACAAAAAAATTTAGTTATTTTAAATTATATACATTTCTTTAGGATTGTATAAATTGTTTTAAGATAACACATTAAAGGGTTTTGATTATCAAAAACGTATCTCATATTTTCAATAAAACTTTGTTCAAAAAAAAATATTGTTGAGGTTTCAAGCCTATAAAAAAAGTTTTATATTTTTTCCAATTTTGAAAGATATTTTGACAGATTCACAAAAGATCCCTAAGTGGCTAGTTGCTTTTTCTGTAAGCGTAAGACTTAAGTAAGTTATAATAAAGTTTATGTTAAATTTGTTTTAATTTTTTAAAATTTATTTAAGTTGCTCAACACTGAGTAAGGCGATCACAGAGGCGACAATAGCGGCGGATGTTGTTGTGGCGCTTAAAGCAATTCGCCCGCCTGCGTTTGTTTGGGTCCTGGCCTTCTCTTCTCCCTCCCCCGGCGAGCCACGCCCCTTCGTCCCAAAAAAAATATACATGTGAGCACATACATACATACGTCGCGCGTGTTCCCTTTGACGCTATGCACGTTTTTTACCCGTTGAAATTGTAAAAGTTTTGTGATTTTTCCACCACCCTTTGGGCGCGCATTGTCGGCGCTGTTTGACTGCATACTACACTTTGCAAATCTAATACATGCTTAAAAGAAAAAATGTCTTGTAGTAAACATTTAAAGTAATGGGCATGTATTATGTTTACCCTAAAACCTAATTTATATCAATTTCTGATAATGTAATAATAGTATATATATTGTTCTTTTTTAAAACAAATTTATATACTATATAAAATTTACTTTGTTTAGACATCGTCTTTAAGCATTTTGGAAAACATTATTCCAATATAAATATACAGTTGAAGAATTCTAAATGTTCTATCCAAAATGATAAAAAAAAGCTTTTAAAATTCTGAAATAGTTTATTTATTTTTAAAAATATTTAAACACCATGAGAAACATATTTATTCAAGACGATTTGTTGACACAATATGTCGAACTCATTTGTACTTTTGTCAACAAATCAGAAAACCTTCAAATAAAAAGAAGAAGGCAACGTAATGATCTAGTTCGATTACCTCAAACCTTACCTTTAACTGTGTCTTAATAATGAAATTGGACATTTGTGATCCAAAAACCAGCGAGGTGCATAGCTAAATTGTATAATTTTTTTAAGTATATAATGTTGTCTTATATGGTGTCGCGTCCTCGACGTGTGGCCCTTTTTGTTTTTATAATTGCCGGTGTCGTGTCTAATTTCTGTTTTAAATACATAGTTGATATTGCTGGCAAAAGTTGCAAATTGCGCTTTTGGCTGCTGCTTCTAGTGCCGCTGAATAATGCATAAATGCAATTTGCAAGTTGAATTGTGTGTGGTCGCTCTATTTTCGGTGGACTCGGTCACACTTTTGGGAGCCAAATGCGACCCCCAGATGGCGCCAGCTGGACCGTCGATTCCAGCGTGATTTATGTCCGTCAGTTATCGATTGTCAGTTAGCATTTATGAGCCACCTGAACAGCACTTTGGGGGATTGCCGTAGTCGCGGCTTAGGGCACCGTTCCCGCTCACCCAGTTGCAAACTTTTCGCTGGCCATAATTTCGCCCGGAGAAAAACTTTCGTCCAAGTGGTGGACAAACATTTTAATTGAAACGGTTGGTAAATAAATTAAACACGGATTACGTTTGGCGTTTTTTTTTTGGGTTCGACTGTAATGTTTATGTAGCGCATAATCTACTGCTTTTTATAGGCAGTTCCCAAAGAAATCTCTGTTTTAAAATGGATAAAATATTAAAACAATATCTTTTTTGCTCTGCTTATAATGTTTAATATTAATAACTTTATAAGATAGTTATAGTTTAGTATAAGAAAAAAACACTCTAACAGAAAAACACCACACCTTAAGATTTTATCAGTAATAACTGTCAGAAAGTGTACTCACTATGGATCTTTTCTATAATTTGAGATAGGCCATTTATCAGATGATTTCCCAAATCCGAAACTAAAACGCAAATTTATTTGTAGAAAAATAGTCAATTTATTCATTAAAAAAAACACATTTCCTTTACGAAAATTTTATCGCTTAAAAATTAAGAACAATTTGACACAATTTCGCAATTTCTATTGGAGATTGTGAAGGACAGACAGGACAATAGGAATCATGAGGAAGGGACTGTGAGTTATTAAAAAAAAAAGAGGTGGGGAAGAAATTTAACAAAAATAAGAGGCAAGGAGAAATAAAGGGAACAGAAGTAACAAAAGGAGATATCCTTTTCCACGATTAAGATGCTTCTTCTGTTGTATCCGGTCCACTATGAAAGATATAGTTATCCTGACCGGCGATTCCCGTGCCGCCAGCGTCGCCTAGCCAGGGATAGACATTGGGGCACTCCCGACAGGTCTCCATGTAGCGCGTATCCGTCAGATTCTGTTCGGGGATCTTGAAGGACAGCGCACACGTCTGCCAAATGTTGCAGGGCTTCGGGGCCACCGCCACGCTCTTGTCGCATTTCCAGGACTCGATTTGGCTAACTTCGCGCAACTCCTTGGGATCGGTCATGTACTGGAGCATCTGGGTGACCGTCAGGATGTAGACGTCGGGTCTGTGGAATCAAGAGGAAAAACTATTAACTCACGCTTATGATGGATTAAGTTCAAAAAACATATTTTCAAACATCTTTAAATTTTGATCAAATTTTTGTAACATTTATTCTCGTTCAATTTAAAAGCTAGAGATTTTATACCCAGCTGTGATACTATTGCTAACTTTCTTTGTTTTGAAATATACCTCTTTGTAAATATACACTTTATATTATATAGTTTGATTTACAAAATAACTAACATCTTATTTTCCTTCAAAATAAATTATTGTTTTCTATTTGAAGCGAATTTGTTCTTCACTTGTTAAGTAACAGGTTTCCAAAATGTTTTTACAGGTAGGAAAAATTAAATAAGCAATCCTTAATTTCGGTACAAATTTTCAACGAATCAGTATATTAAAATCTATATTTTTTGCAACATATTAAGATATTTTACAAAAGAGCAACGAACGATTGTTGGTCACTATAATTATTCTTCAAACAATTTGTAAGTATTTAAGTGCTTGAACATATGTATAATTATATACAATTTGAGTTTCATTTTTTTAAGTAGCAAAACAATTTGAATTTGTATTCCTACTAATCCTACTAGTTCACATTTTTAAAGAGTTTTCTTGCAGGAAGTATTTATAAACAGAATATTTAAATTATGTTTGTTGTCTTAAACTTTATCAGATTTATATTAAGATTTATAATTTGTATGGTCTCTTATAATTAATCAGAATTTCGGAGTAAATAATACAGAAATCTATTTATATAATATTTTCTCAAAAATGACCCAGTCTATATATAAAACACTCTTCAGTACATATAAAAAGCAGAAAAACTTAAGAAATAAACCTTTTCACATATGCTCATTACGATGACAGTGCACCTGTACGGTGAATACCTGTGTGCCAAAACAAAAGAGTAATGATGATGGGCCGAAGTGGGCGTGGCAAAATGGGGGCGTAGATGAGGGCCTAAGCAAGTTGATGCAAAGAAAACTTTACGGCATTCTTTTGCGCTGCTCTGCAGAGTGGTACGCATTTTCAGGCATCTCATGCAAACAGTACACTCCGCCCTCCGTTTTGGCCCTACCTTTCTACCTTTCTACCATTCCCCCTTATCCATTTCCCACTTTTCCATTTCCCGTGAAGCCAAAGCTTCAGCTTCAGATCCAACTGAAGCTTCAGTTTAAGCCTGGTCCGAACGGCAACGCAATGTTGAAAGTCATTCACACTAATTAAAAACTTCGTACAATTGTGCGAGAAATAGTTTCACAGCAGCTGCTCATTCAGTTTTCCCCTCGTTTTCCCCCTTTTTATCCATCGTCCAGTTCACATCTTTATAGTTTTTAACTTCTCTCTCTCAGTTTGCCGTAAACTAATGCATGAGGTGGGAAACAGGTGGGCGGCTGCAGCGAAATATGTGCCGGCATTTTGTCGAAAATGGAGTTGAAATTTCTTCAGTTTCAAAAATAGCAACAGTAAAAAGTTTTGTTACTGCCCTGAAATGAATTTGCCAATGGCAATTTTTAAACTGAAATTCATTAAACTGTTGCTAAAATAAATTAAGTATCTTAAACAAAAATTTGATTTCATATAGAATTTCAGGCTGTTGGATAATTGAGTAATAAGTGTAATAAAATAAAAAAAAAATATTTTGAAAGAGATAATGGATTTCAAAACTATTTGCACATTTCTTATGAGTAAGTACGTGTAATTTGTGCAACTACTTTTGACCACCCCTGTATTTTAATATTTTAAATTACAACTTTGTCTCAAAGTATGTCTCGAAAAATAAAACATCGTACTTCGGCTTTTATTCTTCAGACTCCCGGATTAAACAACTAGTGTTAAAGTAAGATTGTTAGATCCATTTGTAACGCCCCCTGGTTTATGAGAACGAGAGAGACACAGAAAGAGATCTAACAAGAAAGGAAAGCTAACTTCGGGCGGAGCCGAAGTTGATATACCCTTGCAGAATACTCTGTAAATTATATTCTCCAAAATTATTCATATGATGCATTCTTAATACTCATAAAAAATCCGAACTTCCTAACTTTAACAACAACAAAGTTATGGCATTTCCAATCGTTCAGTTATATGGCAGCTATAGGATATAGTCGGCCGATCCTTATGAAATTTGATAGGTCGGATTGATTGGCCAAAAATAAAATCCATAGAAAATCCCAACTTCCTAACTTAACAAACACCAAAGTTATGGCATTTCCGATCAATCAGTTATATGGCAGCTATAGGATATAGTCGGCCGATCCTTATGAAATTTGGTAGGTCGGATTGATTGGCCAAATATAAAACCCATAGAAAATCCCAACTTCCTAACTTTACAAACACGAAAGTTATGGCATTTCCGATCAATCAGTTATATGGCAGCTATAGGATATAGTCGGCCGATCCCGGCCGTTCCGACTTATATACTGCGTGCAAAGGAAAGAAGGGTGTGTGCAAAGTTTCAATCCGATAGCTTTAAAACTGAGAGACTAGTTTGCGTAGAAACAGACAGACGGACAGACGGACAGACGGACAGACGGACATGGCTAAATCAACTCAGGAGGTGATCCTGATCAAGAATATATATACTTTATAGGGTCGGAGATGTCTCCTTCACTGCGTTGCACACTTTTGACCAAAATTATAATACCCTCTGCAAGGGTATAAAAATCCAAAAGACAGGCGATATATGTATGTCGAACACACGCGGATTTTTATTATAGACGTCTTGGTTTGCACCCTAACTCATTGGCGAAAAGGCTGAAATGGAGACCGAGAAAAAGAAGATTAAAAAGATACCACCCACATGACCTCCCATCAAGACACATATAATATTTAAAAGCTTAAAGTAATTAAAATATAAATTAAATATATATCTCTTATAATCTGTTATACCTACAATTTATTATCCCATTTATTTATAAAATACTCAAGCTGCCACATAGGTAGCAGTATACCTGTTAAGTTTTGCAATAAATATACACTTTTTTACTTTTATAAAAAAACAACAACTAGTGTTGCATACTCTTAGACATCTTTACAAGTGATTTTAAAACCCTGTCGGTTAGTTTAAAAATAAGAGGTTAAGGGTAAACCATTAGTTTTTAATTGGTGTAATTCTATGTTTTCATTTAAGGGCTTATTGTAATAAGTTTCAAGAGTTCAAAAAGCATTTGAATTAGCTAAAGTTTTCATAAATCAACTTAAAACCATAAAATGTGAATTAGCTAAAGATTTCATAAATCAACTTAAAACCATAAAATGTGATCCGAAACCCCGGCTATTTTTCCACGAGTTGTTTTTATGGCCGGAAGTCGTTTGTTCGTAGAAATCCAATGTGTAACCTGGTCCACACAAACAAAGATGGCAGATAACATGTAACATGCACATCCCTTGAGTGATGTCGATGACAAAGTGCGATTCTATCGGCATAACTTCATTAAGGAAGTTTTGAGCCACTTTCGCTTGCTTGCCGCCTCTTTCTGCGCATTTCGCCGGCCTCTACCCGTCCCTCTCTAACGGCAGCAGCCCGTCTCTGTCTTCGTTAGCTGACTTGTGTTGTTTTTGAGCGCTTAAACATTGCTTTTTAGTTGGTCAGGACCCCAAATACCGCCGTCCTGTTTTGGTATTCTGTTCTCCCTCCCCCGCGGCCCTTCGCTTCGTCCTTCCTCCTTTCTTCTCTCTCCTTTCTCCTTTCTCTTTGTATGTATATCGCTCTCCTTTTCTTGGCCTGTGCCTGCACTGATATTTTCCAAAATGAAACTTTAACAAAATTAAACTTTTCTCATTAAAACGTGCGATTTTTTCTCTCCTTATCCTTATCCAAGCTACTGCTCTTATTCCTGCTGATGATTTTTTTAAACGCTGACCGCAGCGTCGCCATTGTGAGCTGGTCGATTGGCCGGGAGAGGGGTAGTGGGGGATCGGGGGAGAAAGTAGTCGGGCGAAAGGGGGTGAAAGTAACGCCTGAGATTTCGCTGAGAGTTGTGCATATGGTTGAGTGACTGCCAGCCGGATTGGCTATATGCACAGGTCAAAAATGTTTAAAAATATAAGTTTTTTAACAACTAAACACATTGTGTTGCACACGAAAATCTGTAGTAGTTCGATTTTTTAAGTTGCCTACAAATAATGGGATTCTTAAATCTACAGAAATTGTTATTTGTCTTAAATTGAACCTTTTTTTATATTTATAAAATAAATGTAATATTGTTGTGTAGTATCTGAAATATTTACTATAATTGTTTGTTTACTTGTGTGAAAACTATATATAAAGGCGGTGCTACAGAAATCAGTAGGGCTTAAAAATCTTTTATAAAAGTGTTTAAGATTATGCAATCATCTATTTTGAATCCTGAAGTCTGATAAATTCCTTGAAAAATACGGAATACTTTAAGACACCTTAATAAGTGCTTTTAAAACCTTAGTAATTTTTTTGAAATTTCACAGAATTTCACTACCCAATTTAAGGTTATTAAGTTCTTTTTTTTTTTTGATATTCCTATTGGGTAATGGGTAAAAAGAAAACTATTTTTTCAGTGCAATCTAGGATCAGGGGTGTTGTTTGCGGAGGGGTTTTTGGGTGGCTTGTGGACCACTGCTCAACCTGTCGACGGACGGGCAACATGTGCCGCCGCTTCTACAAGCAATTTTTATAGCAATTGCCAATTTTGCTGCTGCTGCTCCTTCCTGCCTTTGCTTTCTCCGGCCCCACTTTCCCCCTGGCTTTCTCCCATTTCTTTTTATTCCGTCTCCTCGGCTCTCATCTCGCTCATCTCTCTTGGATTTTTTTAATTGAATATAAAACTTGCCAGCGGCAATCGGAAGTGCACTGCAGGAAACGCCAGCTGCCCATGTGTGTGTTTGGGTGTGCGAGTGTGAGAATAGAAAGAGACGGCATGTGGGAGTGAGCCTGCTCCAAAGTTGGCTTTCAATTATAAAAACACCAACAACAAAAATATACTATGTATAAAGTCGAAAACAGAAAAAGCTGAAAAAATAAATTTATGAAAAATTGAGAGCAGTGTGTGCATATAACAGAATTGGTTAAAACGCCTCCCCTCCCACCCCCTTTCCACTCTCAGACACTACTAACGAAATCAAAAAAAAATATTTGAAAAAAAACGAGTCAAGAATGAATATCTTCCAAAATATATACAAAATAAAACAGTTTAAGGCTTCAGGTTTTGTAGCGGGGTTTTACATTAAAAACTGAAGCGTATATAAGTAGGGTATTTATACCCGTTACTCGTAGAATAAAAGGGTATATTGTATTCGTGCAAAAGTATGTAACAGCTAGAAGGAAGCGTTTCCGACCCTATAAAGTATATATATTCTTGATCAGGGTCACTAGCCGAGTCGATATAGCCATGTCCGTCTGTCCGTCTGTCTGTCCGTATAAACGCTGAGATCTCGGAAACTATAAAAGCTAGAAGATTGGCATTTTGCATGCAGATTCTAGGAGTTCCTACGCAGCGCAAGTTTGTTTCAAAATGGTGCCACGCCCCCTCTGACGCCCACAATCGCTAATATACGATTTTAAAAATTTAAATATTTCGGAAAAGTAAAAATGCAGTTTTATTGTGTTTATCAATACCTATCGAAATGTAGAAGAAATTTTTCAAATCGGACCATTCGTTAAAAAGTTATGCGTGATCAAAGTTTCTGTCTCCATCTCCCTCGCACTCCCTTTACCTGAGTAACGGGTATCTGATAGTCGGGTGCCCCGACTATAGCGTTCTCTCTTGTTTTGTATTTATGAGTTGCAAATAAAAGTAGGTATTTAAAGGCTTTGTTTTTGAAACGATATTTTGAAAACAGCAACACGATTTTTTAATTTAACTGACAAGTTTAATACTTCAAAATGTAATCTCCAAATGTAAGTTTTGTTCTGACAAAACAAAAACCGTTTGGTATCCAGAAAAAACGATCTTACAAGTGTAACATTTCATCTCTTTTTTAAAAGTGAACATATCGATAAAGCCCTAGCATTCTTTTAAATACGAAAAGTTATTCAAATTTTTGAATTATAAGTACTATTGAGCAATGTATTATTTTTCGTAAACAAAGTTCATGAACCTAATAGACTTATGATTTAGACTCTCATGGAAAACAATCTATTTAAGTTTTGTTTGAATGGCATGGAAATGAAAAAATGATAATAAATCCGCATTGTGATTTGAAAAGTTGGACACCATATAAACCATTGGATACTCACAGCTCGAGGGCCCAGTCCAGGAACTTGTGCAGGCCGTTCTCCAGCGGCTTGGTCTGGAACCAGTTGGTGTGGAAGGGCATCATGTAGGGGGCCTTGTTCTGCTCGTAGTAGCGCGAGAAGTCCTCCTGCAGCCACTGGAGGACCTCCTCCTCGTCGAGGTTGTGCAGCACGCACTGGTCGAGGTAGGGGCAGTGCCCGCCCTCGTACCCCTCCACGTAGTGGGTGTTCAGGGGCACCTCCCACACGCCGGGGAAGGTGCGCGAGGGGCAGGTGCCGCTCTTGCACTCGTGCGAGATCTTGTAGTCCAGGGTGTACGGCCACACGGGCACGGCCACCGGCGGAACGGTGATCGAGCTGTCGTAGATGTAGCCAAAGTCCTCCAGCACCTGGTAAGGATATATAGGGATTTTGGGTATCATTCACTGATTATCAAATATAATTCGGGCCAGCACTGCTGTCACAGATATAAAAATAATAACATAACTTCAGTCCTGGGGCCATATAATTTATAAGTCCATTCAAATCATTTAATTTATTGCACAATAATAAATTTCCTATTTAGAGATTTCTATTATCAAAAATATTCGAAAGTTTTTTTTTAGTTATTAAGTACTACAAAAATTATTTGTATTTTATTATAACTAAATACAATACCATTAAATCGCCAATTTTATTGTTGCAGTTGGCCTCCCTGCTCACGAAAATTACAATAAAAATTTACACATACAACCAGAAATTGTTGATATCGCTTTTGGTTGAAGACGGAACATGACTTTTTTACCTCAGAAAAAAACTGATGTTTTTCTGCTATTAGAAATCTGCTTTCTCCGTCAACACTGGCAAAAAAAAATCAGCGATTTCCCAAACTTTAACAATACAATTAAAACTTATTTACCAGCTTATCGTCGATCCCTTTTTAAATAAGATTAAAAATAAATAGCCATCACAAGAGGTAAAAAACGTAAATTGGTCTTTAAAAATTATTAATAAAAGTGTAATTTTTGCCATCAGGGAATAGCAGAGCTACATTTTTTCTTTTAAGAAAAAAAAACGATTTAATTTTGTAAACATGAGTTTATTTTCTTTTAAAAAATGGCCACATTTTAGTATTTTAAAAAAGTTGAGAAATCTTGGAAAATGGAAAACTATTAGTTAATAATGTATTAAATGAGTGAAACCAAATCTCTTTTTCCGTACGCAAATTAATGAATTAGAAGAGCAACAGATGTCGAACCTATCTGCGTTGTCCTATCGCTACATACATATATCTACTTGTAGTATCACTCTGGCCCATTATCCACATAAAGAGATTTCGCATAGATATGATTTTATATGCGTGAATGTGGCAAACAGTCTGATCGAGAATTGCGGGTGGAACGGGGTGGTTGGCTGGATGTCGCATAATGGGGCACTTGAACCGTGATGTACGTATATGTGTTGTGACATTGATGTCATGTCATGTCATGTCAACCAGAAACTTTGGCCCGAGTCAAAGCGTATGTGTGTTTGGGGGGCTGAGGTTACGGTTAGGTTGTCATTGCTTCATTGGATTTTCCACCAAACCCAATTTCAATTTAAAGCCAATACCACGTCAATTTAAATAAACGACCTATCACATTCCAGGCTACTTTGGGAGCATTTATATGGTGATTAAAACAACAGAATATGCATATGTGTACCTAACAATATTTATATTTTTTTTAGGCAGAATAGACCCTCAAACTCGGGGGAAAAGTGCTTGAAAATGGGTTATTAAAAACCCAGCCTAACTATCAAACCCCTCATTTTGAGCCGAAATAGAAGTTTTCGAACAATATAAGAAGTTGAGTAATCTGTGTGGATATCGAAAAATCTACGATTTTCTTTAGAATTTATGGATGATTATTTAATAACGGGCTATTTGATATTTTTACTTATACGTAAAATTAAATAAATATTATAATTATAAACAATAATTAGAATATCTTTGAGTCTCATTAACATTGAGCTTAACCTTGAGTTTATTTAGCAGTTCCGTTTGGCTGTGTTGTAGCCTTAAACGAATAACTTTTCGATTCTGTTTCTCTGAATTCAAGGAATCGCACTCAACAATTGCATGTCGATTGATGTTCTCATTGTTTGCATTTCTTTTGTGCAGAGCACAACCGCCAACCTGCCACCTGCCACATGCAACCTGCCACCAAAACTCACCTTGTATTGGGTGTTGCGGCCAGGCTTGAGGAATGGAGCTCGCATGCCGACCACATCGTTGACGGACACATTGGCGAAGTGTCGCAGGATTTCACGCATGCCAATCATCTCGCCCACCCACTCCTCGTAGCCCTTGTCCTGCAGTCCCTGCTGCTGCGAGATGCTCTCCGTCCCGATTTCGTGTCCATAGTAGCCCAGATGCTGGATCTGCTGGTAGTTGCTGCAATTGCGGATTGAGGGGGAGAATCGAGGGTCAGTACGAATATTAATTGGCCATAATTGGGCTTCAATCAGAGCCCGTGCTGTGCTTTTTCTTAGTAATTGTTTACCAATATAGACGACAATAATGTATAACAAATAACCGGGTAGTTGTATACCAGGTCTCTTAATAATAAGTCACTTAACTATTGGATAATGCAAAAAAGATACCAACACAATCATAATTTCGAAATATATTTAATTTTATTATAATAAAATAAAGCATCCTATTTGCCCCCATAAGTTATGAATAGTTTTAAAATTTCTTCTACTCATTATTAACTCAGAAATAACCAGTTGAAGTGTTTTTCTTTTGCCCAACTGCTGGCAAATCATTTTCACACTCGATGGCTTAACACAAAGAACAGCACAGAAAGACACATCTGGACAAGTGATAATTCGAAACTAACTGACGAAATGAACACAGAATCTCTCACACTTCTGGTTTTTGCCAATTAGAAGAGTTTCCAAACAGTCAAACTGAAATCCAATGGGGACGCAAAGACTAAATACAACTGAGAGTGTTTCAAGAAAAAGTCTGCGAATCTAAAATGCCCTAACAAAACATGAGTGCACAGAAAAATTAGAACTTTTTACTTGGCATTATAGTTTTACATAAAAAACATACATAAAACATAATGCTTTTTAGATTTAAGCAAATAATTTTTTTAGAAAACCATTGATTACTATTTACCAAAATTATATTTTTTAGACCTTCAGTGTATTTACCTTTGAACATTTTTCAAAAGCAATTTTTTTGCTCTTCGTCATTTCCTAACCGAAATGGAGGTAAAGAGCTGGTATTTAAAAGTACGCAGCAACAAATGCAAAAGTACCGAAATATATGTGTGAAATTTCATTCATTCATGTTTTCAAAGGGTGCCAAAAAGAAGTTTTCGATGGGATTTTGGCTTTAGGATACTGCTAACGAATAATGCATAGTTTTTGGTGCTGCTTGCAAAGCGCAAATAGTTGCGAGAAGCATAGAGCGTAGGGCAAAATATTGTATAAAAAAAAATGGAAATAAAATTATGAATGTATTCAGTTGTTTTTTCATTGTCTTTTCGTTTTCTGTTAGCTCTCCTTTTTTTTCCTCAGTTAACTCTTTTCATGCAACAGCAGCAACAATAAGCAAGAATGTTGCATGAATGTATGTATTTATTAAACATTTCACTCGCAGTGCCTCCTTCTCTATGTGTGTGTGTGTGTGTGTGTCTGCAAATATTTTGCAATGAAATTACGCCCTAAAGTCAAACTTTTGGCCCAAACAGCCCGAACCAACCCCTTGTGCCCATTGAGAAGCGAAAACGAGAAGTAAAAATCATAATGAATGCGATGAGTTCTCTTTTTTGTTGTTGTTTGTGCACAGAAAAAAATTCTTTAAAAAAAAACCGAAAATTGTATATGCCTACTTAACAATAAATCGTTTGTTGACTTGTAATGCCTTTGAATTTCATTGTGTTTTACACAAATTAAATAAATATTTTCCATGGTCTTTTTTTTTTTTGGTCTCATTAAACTAACTAAAATGATGTGAAGTTTTGTTATTTATAAATAATTTTTATATTTTCCAAAAAAAACGAGCTAAATAAATAAAATATATATGTAAAATATATATATATATATATTCTTTTTTCTTGTGTAGTACTGCTGACGCACTTGATGCACCGTAGGCGTTGCAGCCACGCCCACTGCATAGGGGCGACCTGCATCTACACCTCCATTATTTAGCCTCCTACCGCCTTTTCCATCCGTTAGCCCCTGCTGCACTTTCAAACAATAGCGCACGGGCACAAAACTATCTGACATCGTCAAAAAGTTCATGCAAAAATGTGGAAATGTGAAAAGTTGTTGAAAAGCCTGGGCCTCGGGATGTGCGAGTGTGCGAGTGTGTGTGTGTGCGTGGGTGCATCCTTTGGTGCGTATGTGTGGGGTAGATTTATTGCATGACATTTCAATTGTTAGACAAACAGCTGGACGAAGAACTAGAAGCAAACGGAGGGGTTGCAACACTTGAAGCCAAGGCCAAATGAGAAAAACTGGCAAAAAAAAAGACTTGTAAAAGGAAAAACAGAGCCTAGCGAGGGGAACGAATCCCGAAGAAAGCCAGCAATTCAAACAAACAGTGTTGCCAACAATGTGACACAAAAAAGGGTTGTCGATAAGCAAAGCATCGACTGCTTCGACAGAAAAGATAACTGGCCCAAAATAGTTTCGCACTGTATAAAAACAATACTGTTTGTAGCTCATAATTTCTTGAATTAACAAAAATTTTATTTGGTAATTACTGGTCGACAGTAACTGCAAATTAATTGAATTGTTTCTAGTGTGACCAAATACCTTTTTCAAACTTTGCTTGCACTTATAATACAGTTTGTCGAAAGGTGTATTAATAGTGTGACCAATAGAATATCAGTTTAATTTAACATTATATTAAAAAATAAATTGAATGTAATCAAAATGAAAAATTAATCAAATTCTAGGATCAAATTAGAGACAAAAAGTTTAACAACAAGTTACTCAATTGTCAGAATATTATGTTCTTGAAACATGAAAAATATATATAAATAGTGTGACCAACAGAACGTAATTTATAATGAAAATTAGAATGTAATAATCCAATAGACTTTCAAAAAATTCGACTCTCTAAGACTCCAAGTATTTGTTGATAGAAAACAAAGCTTTACTTCTTAGAAAATATAAAATAAAAAAAAAAAACAAATAATTTAAAAATATTCTACAAGTCGAGGCAACAATAAATACAAAGTATTTAAATCAATAAAAAAATATTAGATAGCTTAATGAAAGTAACCTAGCTGAAAATGCATTTCTTGGGAGCATCTCATGGTAACCTTGGCACTTCCAAAATTATCCTCGAGCCCCTCTTGAAAGTGCCCCCCCCCCCATGGCTTCAGATGACGCCATATGAGAAGTGGTTACAGCCTGGGAACCGAAGGCCAAAAAGGAGGTGGACATGGAGGTGGAGGTGACAAATGTCGGCAGCAATTAACAGAGCCACCGAGGCAGAGCAAAAATAGTCAAATGACGCTACAAAGAAAAACTGACAAACAAGGGGAGTGGCTGGGTTTGGGGTGGTCCTTTAAAGTGGACCAAGTCTGTGGTGGAAGTGCGTCACACTCATTCACATTTGATGAATTTCCGTTTGGCCTTGTCGCGAGTGGCCGAAGACAAAGTGCAGCCATTGTTTATGCCATCCACCCACGCGACAAACTTCCCAACACAAAGAACACCCAAAAAACCACCCACTCGATAGTGGTTTCTCAACAACTTTTATTGCCAAAGCCCATTTAAAAAATGACATCGCCTGTTAAATTTTCCAGCTACGAAAACTGAATATTCCCCTGCCCCAAAGCCAGACCTCTGTTCGCATTTTGCGTTTGCTAACAAGTTCAATTTGCATTTAAAAAGGCAGAAACACATGTAATCTGAACGATTAGAAATTGTAAAATTACACGCACACACATTTTTGTGGGAGGGTGGCTGGAAAGTCTTAGGAAAAGCCAAAAATAGAAGGCGAAAACATTGTTTTTTCTTGCAATTAAATTGAGGGATTTGGCAGATCAATTCAAAATAAAATAAATAATGTGGAGGAATGGAAGACATCAGTGAGCTAAGTGTAAGGTGTCTCAAAGAAATGAATATAAAAAATTGAAAGGTAATCGGCTTAAAAAGCGACTTAAAACGGCTAAAAAGATTTTATAAATTTAAAGATGGGAAAAAGCTCGCATATGTTAAGGATAATAGATAACTGGAATGAAAGCACATAGTGAATTTTTTTGACATTGGAATAAATCAAGGTTTTGTAAAATTTATGTGGAAATCTTATAATAATTTAATATAATTTTAGCCTTAGCATGGACACAACATTTTAATCTTCTTCTCTATTTTATATAATTTACTTTGGCTTAACTTATTTGTTGTTAGGATCTGTTCTTTTATTTTTTTAAATATTTTCCAATAGATGTTCCCCCAGGGACTGTGTATCTCAAACTACTTAGTCAACCCATGCAGCTGAATTTTCCGGCGCACACTCAAACGTATTTTTCTTCAATTTGTGCCCGTCTCAAAGTCAAGCAATTTCTTTTAATGTGCTTTTAAAAGCCAAATCTACAGGTTCCCTTGGCTTTTTGGTCCATGGCAATTTTTTCATAGCAATGAGATTTCTGTTGTTTTTCCTACGCCCAGCACCAAAAACTAACTTCATTTGCATGTCGAACATATTGTGCGTGTGTGCGGGAGTATCTGTGTGTGTGTGTGTGTGTGTGGTTTCTGTGAGTTGTATCTGCGTGTGTGTCACGACCATGGCTAACGAGCTAGCCTGACTTTGGAGAGGGCAAAAACTATAAGATCCCCCCTTTCGCCACGATTTCAATAAAGCCCTTCGACAGCGCTCTACACACTCATAAAGAAAATTGCCAAAGAAAAAAGCGAGCAAAACCAGGCAAAATGAAAACTAAGAAAAAGAAAGCAGAATGCAAAATGCAGAAAGGGAAATCGGGAAAAATGGGGGCGACTCTGTTCACTTGGAAAAATTATGGCTGCCTTGCTGACTTCCCTTTCTCCTCTGCTTCTCCCGTGATCATCGTTATTATCAACACCAGTTAAGCAATAACAGTTGGAAAACTAGGGAGGAAATCCGGGGAAAACGGGCGAGCTTAGTGGGTGGCTTTAGTGATTACAAGAACGAACTAATAAAAACAGACACCCAAAAACAGAGGGCGAACGCAAAATAACACTCCGGCACATAAACATACACGAAATCCCTGAAAAATGATAATACAGGCTTCTCTGCAAAACGGAATAAACTACAATTTTTTATGAAGTAGTTTAATTATTTAAGAAACTAAACTTACATTTTATTTACTAAGCAAATTTTAGATTTGGTTATAATTTGAGGTAACCGCGTTTTATGATATATATTTAATTATTTTACCATTTAAA